TTAACCCATTAACGTCCAGTGCGCCCGTATGCGCCCATGGGGACCCACACCCTTTCTACGCCCTGTGACGTCATCAATTTTAACTCTGGAGCACGAATTCGAGCATGTACTTGAACGGGTTGAAAATATCTTGCAGACGATACCAGAATGAGCGCAATTGAGTGGAGGAGATTGGAGAAATAGCCAAAAAACCGTGTCACTTTGACTGGAAAATCTGCACGAAGATCGTGTTTCACTACCCACCTACCTTTCCGAGCATGTGCTTTGAAAATAATGAGTAGTTTCTGAAAAATCTCTACACCAAAATGAAGCCTACTCAATTTCCAGCAAGTGAGGAGAAACTTTAGGCAAGGAGAGGGGAAAAAAAGGGCAGGAGAAAGAGAGAAAAGTAGAAGTCGTAAGTGGGGCGTGACTTTTCAACCCAAAAACTATGTCGAAATTTTGCTCTCTGCGCGTGCCCGAGATTTTCAGGCCGCCATTTTGCATTTGGATCGAAAGGCCGTCGAGTGCACGAGCTGTCAAGTGGTTTTTGCTAAGTTAGAGCTTATAAAACCCCAACAGTGACCCGAAATCTACTGGACTAGCTTCAAAACACAGTTTTCCACAAAAGCTGCGGCCATTAATGGGTTAATAAGCACTTGTAAAGTTTTGAAAGACTACAGAATTCCACTTGCCCCATACTAGCTGGTGCAATTTTGTTTGCAATTTTGAAAGTTTCAAAAATCTGCTCATGCTCATAGTAACCCTGAATTGGACTCAAAATCATTTTAATACCTATGCTAGTACTGTCAGGGCTAAAATAAAATAAAATGGTAGATATTTTTCTTTTATGCACTCATCAAAGAAATCCAGGCACTTGTGATAACCTGTTATTCTTATGATGCGCAATGTTGAATTGCTTAAAAATCCACCACAAGAAACTTCATTCTGAACTTTAATAAAATCTGGTTATTTTTTGTTTGAAGTTAAATTGTAATTTTTGCAAAGTGAAATGCACATTGAAGGGCAGCACTCAACCAAGATGCATTACAGGGGTAGTAGCCATTCTAAGCATTTTCTGTTTTCTGTTTTTTCTACATTTTATAATCTAGGGAGGCAAGGGTTGATTATATATTTATTTATTACCTTACAGGATGTTCTATGCAGGCCATTGGTGTAGGCAAGAGTGACACTATTCCAGACAGCAGCTTCTCAGCCTCGTCAGAATTTAATCCAGTACATTATGCAGCTAAATATGGTCGCCTAAATAATACAAAGTCATGGGCACCTAGGGGGAACAGTAATGCTAATGATTACCTTCAAATTGACCTGCTGTTTGAGTATGTCATCTGTGCTGTAGCTACCCAGGGAAATCCAAGGGCTAGGGAGTGGACAACAGAGTACAAGTTTCAATTTTCCCTCAATAGTTCAAAGTTTGTCACCTATCAGGAAAACAATGCTGACAAGGTTGGTTTACATGAACTTCAAAGTTATTTTAGGTTAGACAAAATGGTTCACTTACAATCAGTTTTTGCAGGACTGTAACACCATGCTTGTATTTACCTAGAGGTAAGCTGAAGGAAATTCATTTGCTTTCTCAAGTCATTTCTTTCCTAAAGCAGGGTTTGAGCTAGGATTTGATCACTGGGGGACAATTTGTCCCCTTTGCTAAAATTTTGGGGGACATTTTTATTTTTAGGGGGACAGACAAATTAATATTTATTGAACATTTTTTTTACATTCATACAGGCAAGCCAACAAAACATTTTTTTTCACCTGATCCTTGATACAAACAAGAAAAGTTAAGTTATTGGTGTGAAGACTTTTTTTTTGTCATATTTAAACGGAGGATCAATGACTATGCTTTATACTTTAAAACATTTCACAGCAGAATCTCGTCCAGGCATCCTCTTGTAAAATTCAATTCCTTTCTTAATTACTGGTAGACGTACATGTATGAACTCTTCTGTTGGTTGGAGCCCAAACATCAAGGGCTGTAGAAAAGTCAAAGTCCTTGGAACGTGGCCCCTCAATGTCAATGGTCATAAGCACATCCAACGTTCTTAATTTGATTCTGTGTGCTAAAACCTCTTTCACAGCCAGCCGTATTAGTAGGCAATACAAGTGTGACTTGACAAAGCTTAATTAGATTTTGGACTTCATCGCTATGATGGGTAGCAAGCATTTTCCATAGTTCAGCAATGTGGCCCACGGGTAATGCTCTCCAACAACCAGCTCTTTAACAAAGTTCCATTCAATTCTGCATTTTTCGGCATCCACAACTGCTGGTACATCTTTACCGCCTTAGGTTCCTTTGCAGATCCATAATGGGAAAGCAACGTTTCCAGCTCTTCATTTCCGTAGGTTGACAGATTTTCATTTTGAAAACGCACATTGTGGAGACTAAGAATTCCGAATGCATTAACTACATTTTTTGGAATCTATGGGGAATCTCTTTTCAAGATTTAGTAAGACATTGTCAAGGAATTTCATTTTCATTGATTCAAATTGTTGAATCTCACAGGCATGCTGTCACTTTAGTAGTGTTCTCTCGACTCCATTTAACTTCTGAAACATCATCTTGTGATGGCAAAATCTCCAACAAGAATTTGCCGTTGTTACTCTTAAGAGCTGTTATTTGAGTAATAGTTGATTTCACCAGTGCCTGAACTGATGCAAGCTCTACATGTTCCTTTTGTAAAGCAAGGCTCATGAATGTGAGAATAAGAATCACATCCATCATCATGCAGAGGGGGGCAATGAAATTGAACTCCTTCAGGCTCTTTTTGAATCCACAGGGGTTGTGTCGGGATTCCACGTAGGCCAGAAGAGACGGCCAAGTGCGGTACATACTCTCTAGAGCACCATAGAATGAAAGCCATCTGATATCAAACACTTCCTTGATTTTTAGCTCAGGATATTCAAAGATCTTCTCAAATTCTGCCAGTGACTGTGACTGGAGGGCAGACTTGTCAAAGTAGCAGTACAGAGCAGTAAGGATCTCTTTGAATTTTGCCAAGTAAGGAATACCATTAGCCGCTTGGCTTGTGCAAAGTGCAAGCCTGTGAGCCATGCAGTGGATAGACACAAGAAATGGACTATCGTCCTTCATTCGTTTTGAAA